AACTAGTAAATCAACCCCAAAACAACAAGTTGGTATTTTCTTTTGTTCGTCCATACTTTCATTTTTCTATTGTTTGTCATTTTCTTCCTTTTGTGGACATAGTGTCTTTAGAGAGTTAATTTCCATGGTAGTTTACACATAACTTTCTTACCAACATACTTCAGTTTTCTTGGACTTTTCCTATTTTTCTTTTCAATGTTGTTGATTATGTTCCTCTTCTTTCGTTGTTTTTCTAGCGTGTTACTGAGCATGTAAACTCCCCCAAATCACGAAGTCTTCATTTTCATATATACAACAAAAGGATGATGTAGGTTGAGTCACTGCACTCAAGACAACTTACCGTAGAGCTTGCCCGGGGTCATGACGCCTACGACGTCGAATGCAAAACCACTTAAAATAAATAAAATCATTCACCGAAAACATAAAAAATCTAATCCAATTTCAAAGATCTCAACATGAGAAACATATCAGAAAAAGGAACCACATGTCCATCGGGTTACTAGAAAAAAAAAGAAAATGTTGCAGTCGATTCAAAATGTTAAAGATGAGAATCCAACCCCCTCCCACCTAGCATTATTCATCTTCTTCCATGGCCATCTTCTACCCCACCGACCCCCTTCTTCCTCCACCTCCACCCTGGCTCACCAACATCATCCTCTTGTTCGAGACTCGTCGCCAGCCACGCCTTGCCACCACTCGCCACGGTTTTCCCGTCCCAGGCTAATGCCCCGCACCCGCACTTGTCAAACCCTCAGACTCGCCTTCGTCTATGATGTCGTGGGCAGCCATGTTGGCCCCTGCTATATCTCTCGCCTGAGTCCTGCCGACTTCTCCATACCTTGCCGGTGCTCGCTGCGGTGCCCTTGATCCTGGGCCCAGGGTTTCGCCTCTCTCACGCGGAATCGACCGGCGTAATTTCTAGTTCAATTGTCCGAGAATTAGCAAAACCCTAGAAAAGTAGTTTGTAATTTGAATGGTGAGAAGGGTGGCGGGGAGGCCTCCTAATGAACCCATGGGGTAGCTACCCTCTCGTTCTAGGCATTTGAAAGTTAGAATGTGTACACAATTGCACCTTCTGTCCTAAAACCATCACGTTCCGTTGCAAAGCATGATTTATTGGTTCGGCAACACGACACCCCGCGCGTCAAAATCGCCGAGTAGTTTCACACTTCCCGCCCCTCCCCTTTGGCACTTGTGTTTCACCACAGCTCACTGAAACACGGAGAAAAGAGAGAGAAATTTGTCTCTCCTCTCCTCGCACCCCTCCTCACCGGCCGGCCACCTATAAGTAGCGGAATCCACCTTAGCTTTCTCCACGCAGCTGGACTTGCATTCGCACACGCACACGGCACACCTCCAAATCCAACACGAGCTCAGCTCCCAGTCTCCCTCTCCCTCTCTCGGCCGCCGACCTCCGCTCTGCTCTGCTCTGATCGATCGGCCATGGACTTCGGCGCCGACATGGACGACTTCTCGCTCCAGTACATCCACGAGCAGCTGCGGCTCCAGCTGCTCGGCGCCGACCCCTGCGGCCTCCTGCCCCTCCCCGCGGCGGACGACTTCGCCGCGCACCCGGACTTCATGCCCGCGGACTTCCTGCCGCAGCCGCTCCCCGCCTTCGTCGACCTCACGGCGACCGACTACGCGGACGCGGCGGCGTACCGCGCCGCCGCGGAGCCGGTCATGATACGGTTCGGCGGCGAGGCGTCCCCCGTGTCGTCGGACCCCGCCCGGAGGCCGTCGCTGACCATCTCGCTGCCCCCGGCCTCGCACGGCTGGGCGGCGCCGGCGCCGGTGCCCGCGGCGGAGGCCGCCGCGGCCGCGGACGCCAACGACTTCCGCAAGTACCGCGGCGTGCGCCAGCGGCCGTGGGGCAAGTTCGCGGCGGAGATCCGGGACCCCAACAAGCGCGGCTCGCGCGTGTGGCTCGGCACCTACGACACCTCCATCGAGGCCGCGCGCGCGTACGACCGCGCCGCCTTCCGCATGCGCGGCGCCAAGGCCATCCTCAACTTCCCCAACGAGGTCGGCTCCCGCGGCGCCACGGACTTCGTCGCCCCGCCGCCGCCGCCGTCGCAAACCGCGCGCGCGGCGCCCACGTCGCAGAACAAGCGGAAGCGGCAAGAGGCGGCCGAGCCATGCGTCGAGGTGGTCCGGGATACCACGAAACACTGCAAGGCCGATGCGTCCGCGTCGCCGGCGTCGTCGCTCACCTCAACGCCGACCTCGACGGTGACGTCCTGCACCACCACCCCGTCCTCGTCGGATGCCGGCGGCAACTACGAGATGTTCCCGCTGGCATCACCGACTAGCTGGACGTGGGATCAGCTGCTGGCCGAAGGGATGTTCGGCAGCCTGTCGCCGCGCCAGCAGCTGGGTAGCTTCCCGGAGGTGACCGTGAACTGAGACTGGCGGAACTACCGGGCCGCCGGTACGGTCGACGCCAGGAACTGTAGAGCCTGTGAAAAGAGTAAGCTAAGCATGGTGATTACTTAGGTGTAAATTAAGCTGCCAATAATTAGTGGCTCCTAGTTCTCGACGGCCTACGCTTTGGACTCATCTTGGGAGCTTGGCCTGGAGCTGTGCACTGTGTACAGGATTACAGGAGTGAGGAGGATAGAATATTACTAGCGCATGCATGTCACGGGTGATGAACGTAAGCATCGACGACATAGGTAGATGTTGATATATACTTACACTGCATAGATATGTATGTAATGTAAATTACGTGAAGATCAAAGTGTGGGTGCTTGTTTATGTATGTATATTTGGAAGGAGATTGGATTTAGATCCATCGATCCGTCGGTCGATGTCTATATATGCAGTTGTGTTTGCCTTCTGGTGCCATAAATTCGGTTAGGACTTCACGTGTGGCTACATTGGGTGCACACCTCAAGGATCAAGATCAGCCTAGCTATAAACCTAGCCATAGCGTCGTTAGTCGCACGCTCTAAATGAAGTACTTTTCCTGCTTTGGAATATCTTCTCAGAAGTTCAGTTCCACACTTGACACAGGCTGTTCAGTGATCTCATGGCGCCCTCGAATGGGGCAAACACGTCGCAAAGTCACAGCTTATACATTTGTCAAGTGTTTCTTTAAGGCCGGCCTTCACCCAGATAATTAACAAGCGCATGTGTTTGCTTCAGCTGATAGCCTCAACACTGTTTGGATTAGACGCGCCCGCGCTACTCATGCATGCATCTTAACTTGTCAACTGCTGACAGTAGTACGTTAAGTCGTCGTTAAGTGATCTCGTCAGAACACAATCCGGAGGAGGCTTACAAACTGGAGAGTTTACTGCAACGTGGCTGCTCGGCAGCACTTCCACTCCACAATTTGGAATCTAATCTAACTAGTATCACGGACGTACGACGTTGTTAATCAGTAGAGCACTACGTCAGGATCTTTCCAACGACTATATACTGGATACGGACCACTGGCTAAGAAAGATGCATGAAGCTTCTACGTACTAAAGGTGGACGTTTACCTCCGTGATTTCATCAATCATTCATCGATGCGTGATCACATGCATGTACTTCGGCTAGAAGGAAAAGTAAACATTGGACGACCGCTCTGCCTGATACGGAGTACTGGTAACATGGATCAAGTCTGATTCAACGGTCAGGGTTGAAAATAATTATCAAAGTAGCTTGGAGATACTTTTGTTGGTAGCTCTCATCGGCCCCAAGGAGTGTATACATGTACTAACTTCCAATTATTCCCTTGGTATCAAAATGTAAGACGTTTTTCGTAGGCTAGTTTAGCTTAAAACAGTCTTATATTTTGATACGAAGATATTACTCCCTTGTATAGTTGTAATTTTGATAGTGGCCGTGTATACAAAAATGAAGGGAGTACTAATAAAGGTATGATCAGATGTAGGGTTTTTTTTCTTAAAAAACACATCAAGATCTCTAGACCATGAAACGACCACTACCAATGCCAGGTCGTCGCTCCCCTACCGAAGCCGGTTTGAACTTGTCAATGACAGTCAAAAAGTACCCATGCATGTGCCCTAAGGACCAGAGGCCTGAAGCCGCAGTCGTTATGGTTGAACCCTTGAATCAATATGAAATGCTTCAAACTAGATCTCGCAGACGCACATGCATTACGAGAAACCCTAGCCTTGCCGCTTCAAGGAGACGACAAGAATTTACATCGTAGCTCTGTCGATTACATCTAGACTCGAGACCAACTTAAAAAAGAAGTGTCGTCATCCATCCGAATGCCACCCTGTCGCTGCCCGAGAAACCCTAACATAAACCTACTAGTTGGCTAGTTGGAGCCAAGGCGAGCCAAGGCACTGACATTCTCCTTCCCGCCACCGGCCGGTGCAAACAGAGGAAAGCAGTTGCAAAACTAGGGCCATGTCGCGCACTGTATTTGTAGGAACACTAGTACAGCTAATCAATGGATCACACGGTAGTTGTAACATTTCTAATATTGAATATGGATCGGAGGGAGCACTAAGTTTTGACGCAGCACATTATTCGCGCTGATTACTCTTGGCATGTACTAGTACTCACACTTGTAGGTTTGAATGCTCTTCAGTGTGAGTACTTGGGATGCAGAATGAGCACACGAATGAGGTACCCTGTACGTACGTATATTCTACGGAATCAACTTCAGTTAGACACCATGTTTCTTCGTTCCGGTTGACGCCGATCGGAGGCAGGCGGCAACCAAAGTCGCGACTAAAACGAACCCTACGCAGGCAGCGTCGTCACTGTTAAAGCGCTGAGGATCGGAGCGCTAACCCGCAATGAATGCGGCCTGCCTGCATTCCAGCCTCCCTATCCTGAAAGCGCCGTCCCTCTTTCCATGTGCGAACTGGAAAGTCAGATATCTTGTTGGCGAATCAGTTCGCCGTTGGCAGTTGGAGGCAGGACGACGATGACGCAGCAGCAGTGCCGCGAACAGTAGGCGCCGGACAGAATGTGGCCGCTAAAAACCAGCCGAGGGCCAAGAAAGCACGGGGTTTACCTGGCTGATTGAGGCCGTGTTTGGTTCATAAATCCTAGAACTTTTTTTAGTCCTAACTTATAAGTCTTAAGTCTTTAAAAAGTCCCTATCTGTTTGGTTCCTGAGACTTATAAGTCTCTATAAAATCATATTACAATTATAAGTCCCTATAAGTCCCTCCTTGAGAGTCTTATTTTATAAGTCCCAAATGCTCACTTTAAATCACTATAAGTCCCTTCTGTTTAGTTTAGATGGGACCTTATAGGTACTTATTTAAGTCCCTAGACCAATAAGTCTCTGGAAACAAACACCCTCTGAATGCATTCGCTACGAATAGTTCAAGGGTTGACATTTGCTTGGAGATGATCATGGGTCGGCCAGGCGCTGGACGATGTCAACAGACGGGTGCAGGGACGGGTCGACGACCCCTGCCCGTACACCGCGCCCCAGCAAAACGGGAGCAGGGGTTTGACTTGGGCGTGCCGCCCTTCAAGCCGTGTCGCTCTCCCCCATGGGCCGACGCACTGTCTGCATGATTGGCATTGCTAGACTTGTCCTGCACTCGGACACTCTCCGGCCACAGGAAAACACTCGGACCCACGGCAGGCTAAGCTGCTACAAAAACCGAAAAATGGAGAAGGCAAACGGCATCGGCATCCTGAGAGCGACACTGAGGCAACGAGGCGCGAGCCCACCAAATGATTCACAAAGGTCAGCTGGCTGCTGGCAGCTTGAAGAGAGTCTTGGGCCTGCCAGGTGGAACGGGAAAGACGGACGGTCACTGGCTTAACTTCGTGATGTGGATAGGAGAAATAGGACGTACTCTACTGTACGAGCAGCATACGGAGTGTGATGCGATGGGGATCGTTTTCCGTCGGCGTGCGAGCCCATTCATGGCTGCCGCCTGAGCTTTCTTGCCTGCGGTCAACCCAGTACGTACGTACACACGCCGATCCTCTCCGGCCAGGCTCTTGTGATGATCAGAGTTCGCATGATCGTCGTCGCGAGCGCGCACAGGTGTCGGGTCGAGGGGGTAAAACGATTTGTGCTGCTCGTCGGTCAAATGCAGGTAGACCTCGCTGTTGGAGCGTCACGCGGAGATGAAGCGGGTAGGCGACAAAGGAAACGAAGCGCCGAGCTCGGGCGGTGGACGCAACACCAGGTGGCGCCACCCGTCGTCGTCAATGAGAGAAGACGGCCGTGCCGTGTTCATAGCTAGCTAGTCAGTGTGCCGGGGCTGTGAGTGTCACCAGAGGGCACTGCAGCACAGCACGGGTTTCGTGTGTGTGCGTGCGCGTGGCATATGTTAATGTTGCAGGACCATCATCCAATAGTTTCTGCCTGCCGGCCTGAGTCCGTTTTTCTTTACTTTATTATACTCCATCCAATAACAGGCAAGTGGTTTACAATCAGAGGAGAAATAATGTACAGGACAGTGCTATCCCAATATGCATATTTCATGGAATTCCTACTTTACAAGAATAATTGCATAATCTTACTCAATACGAGTATGATCTTCACCGTAAAATAAAGGCAAAATTAACTTCTTGTTCTGGCAATCGCTTCCGTAAATACAAAAGCAAGTGGATTTTCTTTTTCTCACTGAATTGAACGCCAAAAGTAACTGAATACAGTCCACTACTGCAATCAATAAACATAAGCTAGTGTTCGAGTACACTTTTTATTTATTTTTGAACAGGGAGTACACTTAACTTGACATCAAAGATAACAGGTGCAAAGAAAACTACTGTATTACATGGGTGTAACATTCAATACAACAAAGTTCAGCACTCTTTAACCTAGTATTACTGGTACAAGCCAATGCGAAAGTAGTAGCAAAACTGCTGGACAATCACACCTCACCTCCGGAGAAGTGCAACGACTCTTATTCATAAACCAGTCTTACTTGCCACCTTGCAAGGCCTCAACTAATCTGCCAGCAGATTAAGCTTACCTGGAGATCATTGTCACATTATTAGCATCACACACATATGATACACATCGGCACAACTATGGGAAGAACTTGATCATAAAATAAGGAGTATACAGTTCAGTGTCTAGTGTCATTAATATGAATACAACAGCAGATGCTTATCATTTGAGCTACGAAAACATGTTCCTATATATTTAATAAAATGGAAGTTGAAGCCAAGTTTAAATGAAATTGAAGTAGTGCACACCCAAGTTTCTTCAAACAGCTGGATTGCTTGATAATTCAAAGCTCAAACAAATAACCAAGTATCAATGTTTGCCCAAACAGTCAGTCATTGGTGATGTTAACGCAAACTTAAACAACTGCCTGATTAGAACAATTATGACTCATGAGTAATTTGTAGCTTTGGGTGGGATATCAAACCCCTGCAATTTCATATACATTTTGCCAAGCTATGCCTTGCAACAATTCTAGCCGATGTTGATAGTTATTGCTCAAGCCAGGTAAAGTAAAGTCTGAACATCAGGACAATAACAGATCTCATGAAAGCTGTGATTATCTAACCAACTTTTCTCTGCTTTCATGGCTATTTTCCAACAGCACATTATAAAATAAGTTCAACACAAATCCTCCAGCTAAGTTGGGTGAAGACTCTTGACCCTAACCTATTATTCCTTTTCACGCAACGTTCTCTGCAACATAGCAGGAGAGTGAGTAGGGGTATGTCCTATGTAGGCTTCTAAAATTTAATTTTTGTGCAAAGCCCTTTTTGAGTGTGAAAGACCATAATCCTTGGAAATAACTTGTATAATTTCCAAAATACATTACCAAGTAGTCTAGGGCCAATGTACAATCTTCCAACTAACCTATATATAAGAGCCGTAATGGATTAAAGGGCCGCAAAACATCCAGCATGAGTTATTAACAAGTATACAACATGAGTTCACAAGTGTACTACCAAACATTTTAATTTTGAAACAAGACAAGAAAAGATCCTCCTGCTCTTCCAGACTTGCTATATAGCTCAAAATGCTTGTAACCAAGGCATGACTAATTGACTAGATTGACACTAAGCAGAGGTTCTACACTTGCCCCACGTGACACAATCAATCTTTCGTAACGGGATCTTTCCTGATCACCATATGCTTGTATTAAATCCGCCCGCAGCTATGGAACATCGGCCTCTCCGAATGGCAATACAGGGTTTACTGCTAATTATTTGACCTAAGCCAGAGCCAATATAAAATGTGGTTGTATGATAAGCTTTTGGGTTCTACTGAAACATCAATCGATCTTTTTTTACCCTAGGTAGTGGTGCCCACCAATTCCGGAGCCTGCACCCGCTTCTCATCTGCAACTCTTGTCGACGTTCCGCCTAAAGAAAAACCTGATTTTCTTAGGACAGAGTGGTAGGTCGGAAGCATTGACAAGAGCTACAAATTGAAAACAAGTGCAGACTCGGGAACTCGTTAGGATTGCCACCGAGGGTCAAAAAGATCAACAATGTTTCAATGGAGCCCAAAAAGTTACTGTACAACCACATGCCATATGGGCTCTGGCTTGTTCAAGTACATAGCGGGAAACCCTTACTTAGGTAAGGCCATTCAGAGAGGCCAATGTTGCAGAGTTGCAGGCGGATCTAGTACAAGTATATGCTGCTACTTTGGAAAGACCTCACCATGATCTTATTGCGACCACAAGTGTACAAACACAAAAGATTGATTGTATCGTGTAGGAAAAGTGCACATCTCGCAAAGTGTGAATCAAGGCAATTAGTCGTTACCCCGATTACAGGCACATCGAGCTATTAGGTCCAGAACAGATAGATGATCCTTCCTACATATGAGAGCCATAATGGATTACAGGGTCCCAGAACATTCAGCATGAGTTCATAACAAGTATACAACATCGAGTTCACAAGTGTACTACCAAATCATTTTTATTTTGAAAACAAGACAAGAGAAGATCCTCCAGCTCTTCCAGACTTAATGTAGCTCAAAATGCTTGTAACCAGGGCATGACTAACCGACTAGATTGACACTCAGCAGAGGTTCTTCACTTACCCCACATGACACAACCAATCCTTCGTGACGGGTCTTTCCTGATCACCATATACTTGTATTAGATCCTCCTGCAACCGGCCTCTCCGAATGGCAATACTTAAGTAAGGGTTTACTGTTAATTATTTGACTTAAGCCAGAGCCCATATAAAATGTGGCTGTGCGATAAGCTTTTGGGTTCTATTGAAACATAAATCGATCTCGTTTTTTTACCCTGGGTAGCGGTCCCCACCAATTCCTGAGCCTACACCCACTTCCCGCCTGCAACTCTTGTCGACGCTCCGCCTAAAGAAAAACATGATTTTCTTAGGGCAGAGTGGTAGGTCGGGGGCGTTGACAAGATCCCAGCAGAAAACAAGTGCAGAGTCAGGAACTCGTGAAGGGTCAAAAAGATCAACAATGTTTCAATTGAGCCCCAAAGGTTACCATACAACCACAAGCCATATGGGCTCTGGCTTGTTCAAGTACATAGCGCGAAACCCTTTACTTAGGTAAGGCCATTCAGAGAGGCCAATGTTACATAGTTGCGGGCAGATCTAGTACAAGTATAGGGTGCTACTTTGGAAAGACCCCGCCATGATCTTACCCCAACCGCAAGTGTACCAACACAAAAGATTTATTGTGTCATGTGGGAAAAGTGCACAACTCTGCAAAGTGTGAATCAAGGCAATTAGCCGTGACCTAATTACGAGCATTTTGAGCTACTAGGTCCAGAACAGATAAATAATCTTCTCTCATCTTGTTTTCAAACTTAAAAACATCTTGGGAGAACACTTGGGCTCAAGTAGTACAATTGTAATGAACCCATGTTTAAGGCATGAGCATCAAGCTATACAGATGATGTGAACCCATACTGGGTAGGTTAGTTAGAAGATTGTCCATCAAGCCCTATATTCTTTAATTTCCAAAAAAAACTATTATTGGTACTTCAAATTCAAAAAAGAAACCCTAGAAACCTACATAGGACATCAAGCATGTATTGCTCTTTCCTGGTATAACTACTTATGAGTACAATCAATGTACTCACCCGCTACGTTTTATGTGCAAAATCTGACCTTGAAAAGGATTAACGACTTGGGGTCGCGAGTCCCCTTAACTTGTGTGGGGTTAATGGTCTTATCTTATTTGTGTTGAACTGGCCTTCAGGTGGTGTGAAATAATGTACTTCGGATATATGTTTGCAATGTAATAAATGACATGTATTTTGATATTTCATCTTCAAACTTTGCCTTCTAGCAACTGTTCTAAGGTCTAGCACGGTAAACACAGAAAATCCGGATCCTGTTTGGTCAGGTCTTCACATTATCAAAGAACCATCTGATTTGCCCATTTTTCCATTTGGCTAACCAACTTCTCTCTGCTTTTTCCCACACCAGATTATAAAATAAGTTGAGCATAGTATAGTTCAACAACCACAAACTGAGTCCAAGTATCAGATAAAGAACAAATAAATAAATTTGATAGACCTACAACACCTAATAACCTCATTATGCGTTGTTCTGATCCTACCACCAACATGCCATGTAAATAGAAACGGAGGCGATTGCAACCCATGCTTGGCGCTTGGAGTGTCATGGCACTAAAATGTGGCGGCATGCCATGTAGGTGTGTACAATGGATGCCAAAATCAAATGAACTGGGAGCCAAATCACAATCGAGGGGTAAGGTGAGTTGTGGCCTAAGGGCATGTCTGGATGGCATCCACTTCACCACACTTTTCTGCCACAAGTGTGGCAAGCGTTTGGTTGTAGCCACAGTTATGGCATGCCACACTTCTTTTAGTCAGATACCTCACTTGTCATGGACTTGGTTGCTAGCCAACTTCTGCCACAAGTGTGGCGACCAATTTGGCCACCACAAAAAATGTGGAATGCCACACTTGTGGGACAAAAGTGTGGCAAAGTCCGGAAGGGTAACCAAACATGCTCTAAAAATACAAAATCGCCACCAAGGGGCAAGCAAAAATATTCCAGCAGCCATGTTGATCGAGGAAGATGAACATATGAGCGAATCAAGGGGGTGAGTTGAGTTGTCTTTTCTTTTCTTTCTGAGGTAAATGATTTGAGTTGAGTTAGTCTGACTGGGAGGAGAACTTGAGAAAATGGTGGGAGGCGACATGAGAGGGACGTCCAGAAAGCGTCAATGAGACTGTAGGCTTCTAGGTTTGTGTCCATTCCTAGTTGAATTCCCCAGGATTAGGGATGAAGGTGCAGATTCACTATGGGATGCTAATCCCAGGACTTTTGGCTGTAGGAGCGTGTAAACAGTTGTCACATTCACATAATACCTTCTAAGTTTTACTTTTCAGGTAAGTTATTCCATTCTAACACAATCAAAATAAGGAGTGCGAATTGGCTGATCGGACAATCACCTGCCTAGGTTTCTCAATCCACTACTTAAAGTCAATAGACAAACATCAATAACCTTACAAGTGACAACACTGCAATATTCTTTACCTCAGATATATGTTCAATAATTTCCTACAGGCACCATTGGGGTTACTGACCCTCTTTGGTGCAAAATAGACATCATATTACAGTCCTAGTTTTGGCTACTGTGACATGTGTTCTTGTGTATAGCTGGTATCAGATGATACAAAGAAGCAACATTGCATACAGATGCAGTACTTAACAAGGCGTGCAACTATTATACCGTAAGAATCAAAAGCAAGATCCATATGGCTCAAGCATATGTTTCTACTAGTCTACTAGTTAGACAAACCTCTCAAAGGGAGGTGTTTATTGCCTGCTTACATGATCAACTGAACGAAACACTTATTTCAAGATAAAGGTTCACCTAATCGTATTGGCAGAAAACGAATGTTCTTCTGAACATGTGATAACCTTAGGTTCGCGTCATAGTCACACACAGAACACATCACCAATTCGAATTAACAATGTTTTAAACTCATGTGGCTTAATATGCGGTAGAAGAATACTCACTTTTTGTTCACGCAGATTTGGACGCAATCATTCCAGCCTTCCGAGCATAAGCGAAGATCCCACCGGCCTCAATAACCGGGCCTGCATCACCAATAGGCTTCAGCTTGTACTGCTTGCCGGATGTGTGGTTAATCAAGACCGAGTTATCGAGGTCCACTGTGACCACATCCCCGGTCTTGCACTCCTTGCTGGCACCGCTGTCCGCGAGCTCCAGGGGGTACACCTCCCCGGTGGCCACTGAATTGCGGAAGAAGATGCGGGCGTAGCCCTCGGCCACAACGGCGCGCGCGCCGGCGGCTCCGAGCGCGACGGGCGCGTGCTCGCGGGAGGAGCCGCACCCGAAGTTGGCGCCGCCGATGATGACGGCGTAGCGGGACGACTCCTCGCCGGGGGCGACGAACGGGATCGGGTAGGCCGCGGATGGGAGGCCCACGAAGGCGAAGGAGCCGAGCTTGCGGTACTCGTCGGGCTTGGACGGCACCAGGGTCAGGTGCTCGGCCGGGATGATCTGGTCGGTGTCGATGTTGTCCCCGACGACGAAGCACTCGCCGTGGAACGCGGCGGACGACGGCGAGTCGCCCGCGGCGGCGGCCGCGGTTAGGGGCCGCGCGCGGTGGCATCTCAGCGAGACGGTGGCCGGGTGGCGGGGGGCGGCCTGAATGCGGGCTCTGGCGGGCGCTCGGCCCGGGGCCAGCACCGCTGTCGCCGTCGCCGTCGCCGCATCCGTCAACGATAACAGAGGAGCCGCCGTCATGGTGGCAAGTCCGTGTGGTGGAGACTGCAGAGGCGAGGCACTGAAACGAACTAGGGCCGGCGGCTTGCTTTCGTTTTGCGGTCTGCCTCTTCGGGGATGCGGCGAGGGCTCTAAAAAGCTCTCGTTTCGTAAGGGCCACGAAACGTTAGCCTGTCGGCCCATCACTGTGTTCTGGGCCATAGGAGGACTATTTGGATGTTGGGCTAGTTCTTCTTTTATTAGGCTTCATTTCGTTAAAAAAAAAACAGGCTTCATTTCGGCTTACAAAAACAACCAAGTATACAGTACAGATATTTCAATTAGACTTGCAGGAGCAACTAACTAAAGATTAGTTTCTCTAAAAAAACTAACTAAAGATTAGTTTTCACCTAAAAAAACTAAAGATTAGCCCTCATCATGTGACACATGTGGTGAGCAATCCAAACTATTGAAAACAAAAACACTAAAGGTTAGCCCTAGAAGGAACCCGCAAGGGTCCTTTTTGTGACTTGAGAGCGCGCCAAGGGGTGCGCCCAACCGCCGTCACATGTCGCGTGTTGGACGCTCTCTCTAGATTTCATGTTTTTATTTTATTTTTGTACGTGTTTTTGTGTTCTTGGGTTTCTGATGGGGTTTTCGAGGGTTTTCGTTTTTTGGTCTATGCCTGATTTTTCCTAGGTTTTGAAAAAAATGTTTGTGTGCTTGTCATGGAAGCACATTTTTGCTTCTGCGAGGAGCACAATTATGTTCCCCGAAAAGAGAAAAAAATATGTGCTTTCATGAGAAATACATATTTGCTTCTCGTGGAAGCATAGATTTGCATCTGTGAAAAGTATTTCTCGACAAGGAAAAAGATGTACTTTCATGAGAATCACAACAGTGCTTCTCAAGAAGCGCAGCTGTGCTTTTTTTGGGGAAAATTGTGCTTCTCCAAGAGGGCAAATAAGTGAAAAATTGGAATTTTCATCCTGAAAAACATGCTTCTGGGCTCTGTTTTTTCTGTGTTTTGTTATTCATTTTTATCATTTGTTGATTTTTTTTGTTTTTGTTACCGAAATTTGCTTTTTGTTTTTTATTTCTGATTTTTTCATGAAAAGAAAGTTTGTCGAAACATATTAACATGGTATCTAGTTTTTAAAATCTTGATGCAAGAATTCAATAGTAAAAACAGTTTAGAATTTGGACGCACGGTTCAAGAGATAAAATGTTTTGAATATACGAAGAGAGTGGAAACATCCAGATTGCAACAAGTTACGCACGCCACTTGTCCATGACTGAGAAGATGGTGGTGGCCTTTGCAAGGGGTACTCTTTAACTAGTGATTTCATAGACTTGTGTGTTTGGCTTGGGACCAGGGTATATAGGAGCGGGCTAGAGTTTGAAGCGACAACTATGTCTTTTCTATCAAAAAACTTTCGATCTATCACTGAACATTATGCCAGTACATAGAACACTGGAAGTAACCGAAATTACATCCCTAGGGACGAGTATATGCACTAGAGTGAGCCGGAGACCCACCACCATCATCATCCACCCACCCCCACCAAAGCTGAGCAAACCTTGTTGTACTAGACAATCAGGAAGTCATCGTGATATGGTCACAAGGACTAGTATACCAGAACAACAACCGTCGTTGATGAAGAGATCAGAATGATCAAACTTGTAGACACGAGAATACCGAATCTATACAGATCCACCGAAGACAAAGCATTGATCGAATCATGTGAAATTTGCCGGGGATACACCTCGACATGCCCTCCGACAACTCTAGACGCGTCGCTGGGACGGGGTTAGGTGGGGAGAACCTTATTTCATCTTCATGAAGTCGTCACCGCCTTTCCTTCCTGAGCGAAACACAAATCCTAAACAAACTAAAAACACACCTAAAAATGGAGCACGAACCCACCCACCGGTAAGGGTCGGGATTGACCACGTCTACATAGTCTTAAGGCCACAAGAGATGAGGCAGATTGGCGATAGGAGGGGAGCATGGAAACCCTGGTTGTTGGGTCGCTCATGGGGGAAGGGTGGAAAGTGATTCACATGTTTACCGAAAATGCATAAGAGCACCTGTGGGGCAACCCCCTCGTATCTCGCCATTAAACAAACATAGGGATATGTACAACTATATTAGTATGAAGGTATGTTTTTATTTCTATTTTGATTTAGGACAGGTACAAAGGGATGTATTCACTGCTAGAACTATCCCCATGGCCCACTATAAGGGCATATTTATCCCTTAATAGTTTTGGTGATTGATGACAATGTTTTTGCGGACTAATCGTGTGCATTGAGAATTTTCAGATATATTATGTCTAGGCACAAGACGATTTGGTGCCCCTCGAAGACTATTGAAGACGGCGTTTCTCTACGTTTCTTTTTGGTGGATTTGAGTCGTAGAAAAGTCGTACTATTAAGAGGGGGTCCGCGTTGAAAAGGTTTGGGTGGAATCAACACGTACACATCTGTTCCTTTTGCACCACCTTTCCTTTGACTCGTTGGAGCATCCTCCGTTTCTCCGTATCTCTGCAAAAGGAAGGACTTCTAGTGTTGCTGAACTGGGGCATGCGGTAGTATTGCTCCTCAGAGCGGTAGTACCGCAGGCCCCTGCGGTAGTACTGGCCTTGGGCGCGGTAGTACCGCAGGTGCTCACAGTAGTACCGCTTCTCGGGCGCGGTAGTACCGTGGCCTCAGGCCAGGCTCAGCAGCACGAGCGGAAGTAGGGGCGGATGTAATTTTTTACATCCGCGCCCTACACGGTAGTACCGCTCCTGGCTCGCGGTAGTACCGTGTCGGATTTTTGCATAGATCTAAACTCAATGGAAGTTGCCACGGGTGTATTTTTATATGTTTGTGCCTTCTCTATCTAGACTATCCCTGCCTTGCAGTAGTACCACAAGGGGGAGCGGTAGTACCACGCCAGCGGTTCTACCGCCCTCTGCTTCAACGCATCAGGGCTGGTTTAGCTACTGTTGCGCCAGCGGTAGTACCGTAGTGCCTTGCGGTAGTATCGCGGGCCCTGGCGGTAGTACCGCGTCTCTGGTACGATAGTACCGTGCGTCGCAGGCTGAGTTGGTGGATAACGATTGGATTTGTTCTTCTACTATAAAAGGGGAGTCTTCTTCTCCGAGTTGACCACCTCTTCCACCCCCAAGCTCCATTATTGCTCTAAGATCCATTTTCGCCTGATCTCTCTCCCTAGCCAATCAAACTTGTTGATTTCCTAGGGATTGGTTGAGAAGGCCCCGATCTACACATCCACCAATAGAAATTTGATTCCCCCACTAATCCCTCGCGGATCTTGTTACTTTTGGGTGTTTGAGCACCCTAGACGGTTGAGGTCATCGCGGAGCCATACTCCATTGTGGTGAAGCTTCGTGGTGTTGTTGGGAGCCTCTAATTAAGTTGTGGAGATTGCCTCAACCTTGTTTGTAAAGGTTCGGTCGTCGCCTTCAAGGGCACCAATAGTGGAATCACGGCATCTCGCATTGTGTGAGGGCGTGAGGAGAATACGGTGGCCCTAGTGGCTTCTTGGGGAGCATTGTGCCTCCACACCACTCCAACGGAGACATACTTCCTCTCAAAGGGAAGGAACTTCGGTAACACATCCTCGTCTTCACCGGCTCCACTCTTGGTTATCTCGTCCCTTCACTCATGCAAGCTTATCTTGTGTTACTTCCCTTGCTTGCGTGTGTACTTATTGTTGTTGCATCATATAGGTTGCTCGCCTAGTTGCATATCTAGACAACCTACTTTGATGCAAAATTTAAATTGGTAAAGAAAAGCTAAAAAATGTTAGTTGCCTATTCACCCCCCTGTAGTCAACTATATCGATCCTTTCAATTGGTATCAGAGCCTCGTCTCTTTATTAAGGACTTTGTCGTCCGAAGAGTATGGTTGACACCGTAGACGGTGAGGAGGAGCACCCCGGTGTGATTCCGTCCTCGTCTACGGCCGATGGGGAAACCTCAGTTTCACGTGGGGAATTCAATGTGGCTCTCGACACATTGAAAACCTCCATGACGGCCGAGGTCAAAGGCGTGTTTAAGAACTTTCTTGATGGTCTCAAATTATCCACCGCACCGTTGGAAGTGGTCGATCTCACTAACAAGGTGACAGATGCTAACTCCGACAAGGGGAAGCTACTAGTGAGAAAGCTCCTTTGTCTAGTGGTAGAAAGGGTAGTGGAATCTTTTCCCATGTGGAACCTCCTATCTATGGAGGACCTATTCCATCCACTCATTTAAATCATGCCGGTCCTCCTCCTAAGATTGTGAAAAATGAGGATTTTGATGCTTGGGTATATCGCTTTAAACGTCATTTAAACCATGTTAATACTAACCTTTGGAGAATCATTGAGCAAGGTTTCTATCCGCATGACCCAAGCAACTTCACCCCTAGAGAAGCCGCGGATCATCAATTCAACGAGAATGCTCTCTTCATCATCCAAGATGCGATTCCTTCCGAAGATCTTGCACATCTCCGACCTTTCACCATGGCCAAGGAAGCATGGCACCATGTTGTTTCCCTTTACAAGGGAAGCGCAAGCATTCAACGCTCCAACTATGAAGTGGTGCGAGATGAAGCCGATGTGTTTGCAATGAACGAAGATGAAGAACCTTGTGAGCTTTACCGGAGGTTAACCACTCTCGCGGTCTCTCTCCGAGATCATGGGAGCAAGGATACGGATGACAATTGGATCAAGCGCAAGTTCCTCGAGGCCATGATGCCTTATCACAAGGCCATGTCCTCCGTCATCTGTCAAAGACCGGACTTCCACACCTTGTCCTCAAGTGAAGTGTTGGATGAGTTTGTGGCAATGAGGATCTTGGACAAGACCGCCGACAATGTGGTGTTGCGTTCTCAAAGAGCTAAGAAGCCCAACCTTGCTTTGAAGGCCAAGGTTAGTGTGGAAGAAGAGGATGAAGAGGAAGAAGAGGAGAGCAACCCCGAAGATACAAAATATGCTTATCATCAGCATGGCTCTCGCTTCAAGGCAATTTTGGAGCAAGAAGAACTCAAGGCCCAACTTCAACAAGAATAACTCAAGTGGCGCGAAGAGCAAGCAATGAGTGAGGACTTGCTATAATTGTGGCAATGTGAGCCACTTTTTTGCGGAGTGTCCATATGAGAAGAGGGAAGACAATGGTGGCAAGCTTATCCGAAAAGACAAGGCCAAGTCCTTCCCCAACAAGAGCAACTTTACCAAGAATACTCCTCCCAAGGGGTTGGTGGCACAAGAAGTGTATAATGATGATGATGATGATGATGACGACGACGGTGAGTCAGTTGCCATGGCCTCCTTTGCCATTGCGACAACTCCACGGGTGTCTCTCTTCGACTCACCAAATGAGAACATCACCGCCAAGTGCCTCATGGCTAAAGCCACCAACAAGGTAACCCCCAACATCAAAACTACCATCATTACTCATCCTTGTTTGATGGATTTCATTGATGGAAGTGAGGGGTCTAACATGGAGGAGAATGAATTTGAGTCCTTTATGAGTAAGCTCAAGGGTAAATCCAAGAAGCACTTCGTTGCTCTCTTGGAACAACTTGGTGAAGCCAATGACATTATCGAGGCTCACGAACACACCATCTCTAAGATGGAGGGGAATAGTCGTGACTATGCCGATGAGATATCGGATCTCTCTAATGCTCTTGAGGAAGAGCGAGGTCATCGTTTGGCTCTTGAGAAGTCACACAATGATGACCATGCTAAATTGAAGAAAGATCTTGATCATGCTCTTGTTGTATCTCGTGTGCTAAATTCCGAGAAAGCCAAACTTGGGGTTGATCTTGCTAGACTCAAGGAGGAGTTTGATATACTTGACAAGGCTCACAAGGCCTTGAATGGTACTCATGCTAGTCTTAAAGAGTCTCATGATCAACTCTAAGTGAAGCTAACCAAGGAGAAAGCCACTTTTCCTCATATGGTCTTAATTGATAATGCAAATGCTACTAACCCTTGTTGTGAGCATGTGCATCTTATTGAGGAGAATGCAAAGTTGAAGGAGCAACTTGAGAAAGGCCTTGTGTCGTGCATACAAGGTGAGAAGAACCTCAATGACCTTTTGAGCAATCAAAAGGAAGTTGTGGCCAAGGAAGGGATTGGGTTCGCACCCAAGGCCAAGAACAAGAAGAAGAATGACAAGACCAAATGACCTCCTCCTCTCATGCAAAATTTTGTCAAAGAGGGAGAGGGTGCCTCTAAGGATAAGAAGAACAATGTGAAGGGTGGTGGTGTCAAGAAGAGCAATGCCACCCCTTCCAACAAAGCCGGCGACTTTAACCCTTCCTATGTGTTATGTCGTGCTAGTGATGGGCATGTTTATGCTAAATTTGTTGGTTATCCTTATGAGTACATTGAATGGTCTATTTGGGTTCCTAAGACCCTTATCACTAACATCAAAGGACCCATTACAAAATGGGTACCTAAAACCAAGCATTGATCTCTTGTAGGTGTTTGCTTCCAGTGGGGGATCATGGTTGCTCGATAGTGGAGCCACTAATCATATGACCGGAAGCAAGGACTTGGTGGTGGACGTGCACAAGATTCCATCTATGCCCACCAATGTCGAGTGGGGTGATGCCTCGTCCTCTAAGGTATTGGGACTTGGCAAGGTTGTCATTTCTCATGATCTCATGATCGAGAAGGTCATGCTTGTTGAGTCCCTTGCATACAATTTACTTTCCGTTCGTCAACTTGCAATCATGGGCTTTTGCCACTTTCTTTGATATTGATATCATGGCCCTCTTGTGGTGCAGGACTCTTAAAGTAGCCTTTGTTGGGCATGTCGAGAACGGTCTCTATGTGATTAACTTTTCAGAGTGACCCACTAAGACCGCGACATGCCTAATGGCTAAAGTTGACGTGGGATGGCTTTGGCATCACCGTTGTCAATATGAGATCTTTGCAAAGTCTTCTCAAGGGGGACCATGTCCGTGGACTAACAAATGTTATCTTTGCCAAAGATCGTGCTTGCATTGAAGGAAAGCTACATGAGAAGGCTCACCC